TTCCTACAGAGGAGAAGGACTTCTGAAAACTACTCAAGATTTATTTCATCAAGCAGAGGTAATGTGCTTTTAAAAAAAGACAGAAGTAGGCACTCTGAGTGAAGGCTAAATTGGAACTTAAGTCTCTGATTCCTTACACATAAGTACAGTGTACCATGAATTGACTGGCAGCTGTAGGTTTTAAGCAGCCTAACTCTGGGATATACTTTCTGAAAGTAGTAGCTTCAGACAGCATTCCTTACACTGATAGATTCCAGTTAGGAGGAGGAATAGCAAACTGGTATTATGGCAAATACAATGGACTTCAATACATTAGTAGTACTCATGGTGTCACTTAGCTCAGTGCCTGATAGTGTTAACAGATACTCGATCCTAGTCTAAGCAACAGTATTTTCTTGGGAGAGAAAGAAGATGTAAACATTTGCATAATGCAAACAAAAGACAAGGGGCCAAATGAAGGAATGTGTGGGCTGTTATTTCCAAGATGCATGTCTGTGTTTAACAGGAGACTGGTTACCTTTGACAGGACAATAAACACACATGGCTGGTGTCATCTACCCACAGAATGCTTGTGAGCTGCCACGTAATTGGAAGTGGGGGGTGTTGTACATAAAGGCAAAGCCTTTAAACTTCACTTATCTGGGAAAATGGCAGTTTGTAGTGTAGCTCGTTATTTCAGAAGTCACCACAAACTGCTGACTTATGAATTGTAAGTGCATACAACTATTACAAATATTTCCTGGTACCCTCTTACTTTATAGCACACTATTTATGCGAACAACAAGGAAAAAGAGCCTGATCATCTGTTGTGGTTCATTTCATTACATGCTTTTTCTCCCCTTTCAGATTTTTGCTACAGAGGGCACAAAGCTTGCTTCAGCCCTTCATGCCTTTTCTGATCAGGTGATGTATGACCTCTAAAACAATATTCAGCTTATGACACTAGTGATACTGCCATTAACTTAAAACCACTCTGTGTAAAAGACTCCAATATTATCTTCCTGAATCACGTTTCAGGTACACAATGATGACAAGCCTTTGCTTCTGTTGGAGGCTGAAAAACTGATTTCTATGTGCAAGCAGCTCCAGATAACAGCTAAAGCTTCTGCTCAGGGTAAAAGTGCTACATTTACAAAGGTAAGTTAAAAATTACATATATGTTCCTGAAAGTAAGGCCTAACTGGTTCTGAAATACAGTAACTTACTAATTAATGCTCCTGTTAAAATATGTAACAGTTCATGACAGCTGAACTTCTTGGATTGACAGAGGACCATAAAAATTAATAAGTACAAAATTTTGTGCTGTTGTGCAAGCATTTTTTTTCTGCTGTGCAGTATGTCATTGTTGTTGTTCCCTGTGTAGGAGAGGAATTAAAGTACTGTTTTACACCTAACACCTTTTGAGATGCTGATGTGCAAAGCATAGAGGAAGAACAGGAAGAACTGTTGCCCTTGCTGACAATGTTCTGTCTCTTGGGAGACATGATAACTGTCATCCAAGCCATTTACTCTCCTGTCTTGTCTCAGGAAGGGAGTTTCTCCAGCATAGGTGCTACTGTCTTCTAGCTTTTTTTTTTTCCCCCCACTATCAGAGAAGGGCTTCAGGGAAGTTTATCCTTACCTGACCCTCTCCTTCATGATGAGTTTGATAGGAGGCAAAATATGGTACCATAATACACACCCAGCACACATGGAAGCTTGTCAGTGGATCGCTTGGATAGTATTACTCTACAGGCTTATGTGAACTTTTTTTTTTAGGGAGCACAGATACCCAGTTTTTGTGTAACTGGCCCAGTGGACACAGACATATATCTAATATTAATGTTTTAAGGAAGTTTTCCTACCCTAAGCTTAGCAACTTGAGAGTCTAAGAGTCTTTAGAGTCTAAGAATAAGTAATAGGATTTTTTTCTTTCCTATTATTAAAAGTACTGAAGTTACTGTTTGGGTTTTGGATTTCACTCTTAGTGAAAGAGTTTACAGAAATATTTCCCAAGACAATGATGTTCCTGGACTGCTTTTAAAAAAATAAAAAGGCAGGAGGTATCCATAGGCTTCCACTACTTTATATTGTTTTTTACTGCTGACGTCTTTTTTAAAAGGACTTCTTTTTATCAACATGTCCCTCTCCTTACCCACTACATAAAGAGAGGTACTGGAATTTTACATGCTGCAAATTAGAATTTTCAGCAGAATAATACAAGATGGAGTAATACTGAATATAATTATACTGTAATCCACTAGAATTTAATTCAGAGAAATAGGAACGGTAATTTAAGTGTACCTCACTACAGGCTTCAGTGATCAAAATTTAAATTAAAGTATTTCCACCACTGTAATAATTTTTCTGTTGTTATTGATGCTTAACATGTATGTACCAAGTACCAAACTGCAGACTCTACTACTGAAACACATGCTTGCTTCTCAATAGGTAGTTTCCTGGAGACTGCCCAGAGTTTCTTCTGATAATATTCATATTTTTATACATAACTTTCATGGCAGCTACATGTGTATTTTTGTCATTGTTACTACAAAAAGTAGATGCACAAACCTGAGCATCTACTTTTTGGATGATATGGAGATCAGGCTTCACAAAGAACTTGAAGTATCCCTGACAGAAGAATGATCAATGTGAGTGAGACCATTTCTGTGCACCTGGATGTTTGTTTCCAGTGAGCTATGGAAAAGATGTCAGTTTTACAGCAGGGACTGAGACTGGCAAAAGCATTCAAGCCACTCAAAACCAAACTAAGCACCTTGGGGTTACTGCTGAGTTTGTTTTACACTCTCTAAACTTAAGTGGGAACTCCAGTCTGTCACTACAGCAGTACTAATAGGCTCTCTAATGAATGTTTGTTGAGGACCCAGACTTGTTGACCCATGGTGTTAGATTTGAGGCATAAACTCAAATGCTTGAAGATTTAAGCTAACTTTTAGTGTAACTCAGATCAAAGTAAAGCTTGGATTGATGCATGGCTTTCTAAATCATGCTGACAGGACATAAAACATAAAGGAAAAATATGAAGAATTGTAATAAATCAGATAGTAGGAGCTCCTTTCCAACAGACTTTTATTACTGTTTAATATTATATTATTATTAGTTCAGCCTCTTGGGCTGTGTGTCATTCCCTTCTCCATCATAGCTCAAGTCTTGGCTTAACAGAAGAGATGCTCTTGCTTTACACATACTGTATAGAGAAATAAAAAAAAGATGTAGGCAAAACTTTTTCGATTAGAGGGATTTAAGAAGGACAAATATTACTTATTCAAGCTCAAAGTAGATTACCATCTCATGCTGAAAACAGCTAACTGCCAAACAGAAGTAATGAGTCGTCTTACTCTACTATTACTGCTATCCTTGTAGTAGTACTACTAATACTCTACTAGTACTACTTACTCTACTATTAATTGTCTTATTTAGGTCGATGCATGCATTCTGAAAACAAGGAATGTGATGACTCTATTATGCCAACTCCTTCCACTTTGCTGCAAATTACTGAGAAAGGTGAGTACTTGGTTTATCTGCACTATTTTGAAGTTTTGGGGTTGGTTTGGTTGGGTTTTTTTGTTTGGCTGGTTTTAAGAAATCTTTGTTTTATATATATACACAGAACAAAGCAGGAAATGGCTGCCTTAAACCTGCTCCACCATGGAAAGAAGACAAAATACGAAGTGGTACAAATGCACATACTCCAGAAAGGAGAGCGGAGACGTTCGGCATCAAGTCTTTAGAAAATCATGTAACAAACATGACATTTTTAGAGAGCAAGTAAACATAGCACTGAGAGATGCAGGAGCTCCCATTTGAAAATAACACTTCCTGAATTTTCAATATTGCTTTCATTTGTGGAAAGTCAAACCAGGTTAATTTGAAATGAAACTGTTGACCTTTGTCACATCTAATAGATGTCCCATTACTTAGCCATTACAATACCAACTAGTCTAATAGTTCTGTATTTTTATAATGTGAATGCCTTTCCTGTGCTCACTATTGCTACCGATCTTGTAATTAATGCTTATGAATGTCTTAATGGATGTTTCAACCCAAAGATGCTGCTAATAGACATTTTATGTAATGAACCCTGTGCTGCATATGCTCTATGTAACACTACTGTTGAAGTCTGTAAACTCATCTCTGGCCTATTTCAGTCTATGTATTTGATAGAACAGAATCAGGAATATGGTCTGAAAGGTTGTGGCCTCAAGCACTGAAATGTTATCTTAGTTACAAGTTATACCTGCAGTGAAGTAGTTCTAGGGAAAAAACCCTATTTCAGTAGCTGCACCCCTAAATTTTAAATCTTGATTCATCTTTACGAAGGTGTATTTCTAAGTGATCAATGGTCTTGACTCAAACCCTTTTTCTTTGACCCTATTTGTAGCTGGCAGTTGTTTCTTTTTTTTTTATTAAAACTTAGTGAGCAGAATTTGAGTTGCATGTAGAACCACTGAAGGTCTTATGCAGACTTTATGTTAGACATTTAAAATTTAAGGAAATAGATACTGATTATTTCAAACTTCTGTACAAAGGGCATTATTTGACTTCAGGATGCCATGAAAATACAAGCTGGTGTGAAATACCTATTTTCAAGTTTATCTGCTCTTTGTACGTAGGCTTCTGTTGCATTTTTATTTTCAATTCACCTCTGTCAAACTCCATATTGTATTAGTTTAGCTAAATTAAGTGATAGCTAAATCATACAGTTTCTCTGTATGTGTTATGCTTGCATTAAGCAGAAGCAAAGCTGATTGTGGAACATAAATACTCTCCAACATGCCATTCTGTGCTTACTTTAAGAACTTGTAGTGCTAGAATTCAGAGAAAGAGTACGGATATTTTAAGACACAAACTCTTTGAACTGGTTTATTCTTGTAGGAATCAAGAAGTTTACTTCCACTTTTAAAAACAGGCACTAGGCCTTTGCATACCACAAGACTCACAGTGTACAATAAAAGTAGCTTATTTAGTATCAAATGCAGCTGATAAGTGTGTAATTGATTTCATGAAGAAGAATTACGGCGTTTCAACAACACTTCCTCGTACTCCTTCTGTGTCAGAAGTCCTTGAGTTATGCTCTTGCTTTCTTCAAATTTGGGTAGAACCACTGCGATGTACCCTTCAGTCGATGGCTAAAAAGAGAGACTGAAGTCAACAGTGAAATAAAAGTTAGAAAATAAAAAGCAAGAAAGTGTCTTACCTTTTCTTGCAGAATAGTGGGATTGCTAAGAATGTTTTCATTCACTTCTATCAGCCGCCCCCGTATACAACTGCAAAAGTGTTAGGACTCAGCAGACATGCTTGGGGATGTCAAGGGAAGAAGAAAAAGGGAAATGCCTTACCTGTAAATGGTGTATTCTTCTCCATCTGATGAAGATATCCTACACAGAGGGGCAAGTTCTGTTAAAAACTGAGCTCCCTGCATTTAGAAAACAAATAAAAACATACATATATACGTACAGTTTTAATTACACAGGGCTTTTTAAAGTCTTGCTGGCAGCAACATGAGTTTGTAAGCTCAAAAAGCAAGGATGTGTGATACAGGTCGTTGCAAGTTACAGAGCTGTGCCTCGCTACAGAGGGGAAGATGCCAAGTTAGTTATGTGCACATACCCAAGAGAAGCTTGTTAAGAGTTTGCAAGTTTAGTCATAATTAAGTTTCTTGCAGAACAGGCAGACTTGTAGTTTGATCAGATTAAAAATCAGGGGCCAGAGGTGAGAAACAGCATTGCTGATCTCAGTATAAGCTGGTTAAACTACTTCACACTCAAAAACCCACCATGAAACACACAGAATTGGCCCATCTGCTGTCTAAATCTGCTTGAGAAAAACAACAGTGTCCAGATCCTTGGCATTTTTCTGGAATCAATTTGCTGTTTTCTCAGGGATGTTTATGTCCCTCCATATACTATGAAAGTGTTAACCTGGGTTTAGACAAGACTGGAAACCACCAGTGCTGTAGGAGCACTGCAAGACCCTGGCTGGGACAGGCAGATAGGCACCTCTGGAGGAAGTCTAAAGTCTTCAGCTGTAGAGGGGCTGGTTTAAAATAAAATACAAAAGTAACCTGCTGAGTTTCTATCTGAGAAAGGACAAAGTCTCCAGCAATGTGAGAGATAAAAATGAACAACTAATGAAATCAAAAAGCCTTACCCTTTTTGACTTCCCAGAAACCTTATTCTGGAGTCTGCTACAGTTGGCACTGATTTGGTAATTAATGCTTTTAATTGTTTTCCCACTTTGAAGAAGAGGATGGGCTTCTGCCAAGGTGATGACACAGATTCTACAAAAATGAAATACAATTATTACACTGTACTGGCAAGAAGCCACACTTGTGTGTTCTAAGCAAGCTCCACAACCTTCTCTGCCTCTTACTTGACATCTGCTGTACCAAACCGGATGGATATTGCATTCTGACCTAAAACAACTCCCACAGGAGCTGCTTCATTTTGAGATACTAGACTGGATCGTCAAAAGGACAACTTCTTACTTAAACAGAACCACTGCTTTTACATAGGCCAGAGCTGTTCTATCTCTGTAGTACCCCATGGGAGCATACTGGGTTCACTTGTCAGCTGATAGCTGAAGTAGATACTCAAGATGAACAAGTAAAACACTACACTTTTGTCACAAAATGTAATACAAGGCAGTGTTTCTTAGAACAGCTAAAGGCCATTGTGGTGAAAAGTTTCAGCAGATGAGTCCTTCGGTGATCTGGGCTTCAGTTAACGTGGTGCTTGCACTTCATCTTTTTCTAAAGGAGGGTTATTTCTTGCCACAAAACTGAACAGTTTGAGAGAAGCTATAGAGACTTGGCCTGACTTCATCCCTGGGCTAGAATCTAGCATGTCTGATGCACAAACATAGAGAGCCCAGAACTTGCCAATAAAAAAAGAGAGATGAAGCTGTTCTGTTTAAGAGTATAAAACCTGAAGCAAAGATCAGAATTAACAGCACAGTAACTGCATAGAAAACCAGGGCACAGAATCAGATCTTTCCCAGTGGATGCTGCATCCCTCTCCCTGCACTCCTCCTGGGGAGTGCTGGCTGTGCAGCTCCCGCAAGAGGGAGCTGGATCCTGGCGAATGCGTTCAGCATGCCCCAGCAGCAGAGCTACCTCCTCTTCACCCCAGCCTCTTTCTAAGGGGAAGGTGACGTATCATCTATTTCAGCTGTCGTGTTGGAGTTGAGACCTGGCAAAACAAGAAATCAACAGACAATTTTGCACTGCCTGTGGAAGCTGCTGTGGAAGCTAAGGGCTATTTAGGAATTCAAAGTAGTAAAACAGACTTCCTAGACATTTGAACAAATTTTAATTTCCCTTCCCCCACATGAACAGGATTTAAAATGTTGATTATATCAGACAGCTGAGACTAGTAACTACATATTTAATATTTAGCACAAATGTAAGGGTGTCCTTTCTTGCTGTTGCTGTCACAGCTGTTATTCCCAGGTACTCTGGTTGCTGTTTTGAGAGAATAAGAACTGCATGAAACAGCCCCAGAGAAAGCCCAGCTCCAAAGGCCACAGAGAGGTGATGGTTCTCTCCTGTGCCATGCTCTGAATCCTTAATAGGAGCAGGCAACCCACTGTGAACAACAAACACAGTCTCACCTTCCCTCAACACATGAGCCATTGGCACTACCAGTTTTTGTGCAGACAAGAAAGTTCTGTCTTTCCCTCTGGGACTAAACACCTCAGAAACACTCCCAATACCCCAACAGGCTGCAGAGGGGGAGGTAAGGTATATTAAGAGACTCCAAATCAGGCACAGGGTTGATTTATTCCAAATGACTGGATATCCAGCTACCTCACATCCCAGCAGAAACAGCCTGTGACATTTTATTCTATCTATCTTGTCTTCACTGTCTGTAGCACAGAAATGCACTGTGAGAAACAATTAAGCTGTACACAGAAAAAAAAAAGGTGAACGTTTGTTCAGACTGAAGCAATTAATTTCCCAGAGACCAAGTTAAACTGATTCCTTCTACACGTCGTTACGGGAAAGCCTTTTGGGATGTCGCTGTTTTGATACTGATGATGGTGATGCGAAGGGCTCTGCAGCAGGGGATGGTGCAGGGAGGGCAGCACGATGGGCACTGCTGTGCTGGGCAGCACTGGTGCGCGGGGAGGGGAGGAGATCCAGCCCCACTGCTCTCGGTGGAGCACCTGAACCCCACAGGCCAGAGGCAGAGGAGAACTTGAGAGCTTCCACACCTTTGTTCTGACTCTCGCTGCACACAGTAACTACACGACACCTCCTCTGTGCAAATACAGGCAAAAGCTATTAGAACACGTTACCAAAAACACTGCTCTTGTTGGAGCAGCGGGGCTGGACCTCTTCCCCTCCCCAGGCTCCTGGTGGAGCAGCGATTGAAGACGGGTGGGAAGGCTGATTTGCCACTCTCCCATCCTCCCACCTCCCCGAACAACGCGGGCTCTGCCCCCGCCCCAGCTCGCTGCCCTCGCCCGGCACGGAGCGGGACTGAGCGCTGCTGCCGGGAGAGCGGGGACACCTCCTCGCCCAGCAAAGCCAGAGCCTTCCCAGCCTCC